AAGTGATATTAACTGATAAGGGCTTATAAGGGGGCGTTGGAAAGGAAATGCCACGATAGTACTAGAGCAACAATAGGACGTTATATCAGCAAGTTAGGCTGCGTTTATACTTTGCGGCAGCGTAGCGTAGCGCTTCCAGCGTACGCCAGCGGCAGTGCCGGGGAGAGGATGCATATCGATCTAGCGTTCCCAGCGTCACGCTAGCTAGCGTTTGCAGCGGCAGGGGAGTAGAGACTATGGGAGAGCTGGAGGGTACAAAACACATCGATTGCGCGTCTCTCACTCGCCCTCAGTCTCTACAATACACATCGATTGCGCGTCTCTTACGGCCACATAGTCTCTACTCCCCTGCCGCTGCAAACGCCAGCAAAACGCTGGTGAAACGCTGGCGCTGGTGACGCTGGGAACGCTAGATCGATATGCATCCTCTCCCCGGCACTGCCGCTGGCGTACGCTGGAAGCGCTACGCTACGCTGCCGCAAAGTATAAACGCAGCCTTACGTATCTGATCCTTCTTGTTATAGCCAACAGTTATTCGCTATTCGCAGCTCCGCCGCGTGCGGCGATGGGCACGACGTTTCCTTAACTCGTGTTAACCTGTCGATTGGAGCACCGGACTTCATGTAGACCCCGTCATCGTAGACATTCATGACTATTTTCGGTTCTGAATTGCCTGTTGTCGCCATCTACTACCTGGAACCATCGTCATTTGCGGGCGCGACGTCGCACGCGACGCCACCAGCGCGGCGAATTACGATTCTCTTGTCACATACCCAAAGTACAGTAGTATGAGAATGTGGTAACTGTTCCGTTTGTCAACAGAATAAGTTTTGGAATACTGAAAACGATACAAAAATATTGGATTTTCACATCAAATCGTATAGCATCTTGAACATCTCCCCAACCGCGCGATCGTATGTTGTGGATGGTGGCGTTCAGTTACAGGCCTACAATCGCTGAATGACTTTCCAGGGAGAAAAAAAAGGCGAAAAAAATCCATGGAGAACACCTTAAGTAAGGACCCTGGCAGCCTTACTGTACCAGCAAAGCGACATTTACGCCTCTGGTTCACTGATCCTTTCTACGCGTCATCAAATGCTAGCAGGATTCAATAGCGAAAAAAAACGCGGTGTACAAGCTAAGCTCGTGACAGGAACTAGCCGTTTTTGGTGGGCGGGACAACTAGGGAGCCGTCAGAACTGAAACTTGCGAGGGCAGCAGCGCTCTCAAAATGGAAAATAGGATAGCCTTAGAGATGCGGACCACGCTACCTGTACAAGAAAGGATGCCAACGAGTTGTTCGAGAGCGTTGACTGCCTTTATCACGTCAAACCTGGTATTCCACCGGGTGCTGAACTACTATCGGTGGCCCAGTGGTGACTCGTGACACGCACTCCTACAGCCAGGGTATAGCATCGTCATATGTAAAATGGTGAAGTCAGTACGACCCCCCCCCCCTCTCCCAACGACGAGCGATCACGACCCCGCCTTGTCCCAGCGGCGAAGTACGACCCTCACCGATGTGTCTCACACAACTATGTTGACCCAGCTGATGTTTCCTTTAAATATGTGGAAGATTTTGGAATCGGCAAGAAGGAGGATCACTAGGCAGCCCCTAACCCATTTTGCAATAATAATGATTAATATTTTCAGATGTGGTCAGCTGAGCGTGAAGAACCTATTTTCACACCAGAAATTCTCCGAGAATTCATTCACATTCGCTCGCCACTTGGACGGAATTTGCTTACGGAATTTTTCGGCACCGCAATGCTTCTTGTAAGAATTCATAGAATTCACCAGAATTTCATGACGTGGACGAAATCCTGTCTAAAGTTCGCAAGCAGAAGATCCGCCAACCAACCATGGAACTTTGCTTCTGGTATCAATTCACGGTCTATGGAGGGTAAAAGGGTAGGTCGCACAGGCGGGAGCCAACCCGGGGAATGATCCCCAGTCTGATCTCCATGACTAGTGCCCATGAAATAACACTGAAGCCACTGCAAAATTTTCGCACAAAGTTCCGGAAAAAAATGCTGTTAGCTATGGTGGAGCCCAATATTCTAGAAAAAACAAACTTGACCTGCTTTAGTGAATATATCTTATTAATTTGAAGTAGGTGGTGTAAAATGGGAGACGAACAAGACAATCATTATTTGTCGCGTCGTCGCGCGTATCTTGCGGCGACTAGCGGCAATTTCTTGATGTTCATAACTTTGTCGATAGGAGCAGCGTGCAAATTCGAGCGAAGGTAAGACTTTGCGGCGGGTAATGTCGAATCCCCCGTCTCTTTGACACTCAAATTCAAACGGTCATGCAAGACAACTCGCCTGTCGGTCGCGGCGTCGCTTGCCACTCCCAATAGCGCTGCGTGTTACGATTGTCTTGTCACATTCCTGTGTAATACAGATTTAATGAAATAGTGCGGAAAAAGTTACTGCTCTGCAGACTTACTCCGGAAATCGCCGATATTTCACTTTACAGTTTATCGGTTTGGCCGATATTATGCAACTCATACTTTCTGATGAGAAAATGAACACATGGACTCAAATCAACTTTGGTTGGGGTCTTGCTATCGTATTTTGTGTGTACCTTGGTGCTAAAACATCAGGTGAGTGGTTACTTCATCAGTGATTACTGCTATCCACTTTGCTGCCGCATGCTACTACGGGCATCTTATGGTTAACCGGATGGCAGCTTTAGACTTCGCGACGGCGGCCTTCGGTCGCGTCTTCAAGCGATCGATTAGCGTACGATTGCGTCGCTGGCGCTAGGTATAACGCGAGTGATTAGATGCAAAAGTTCGACTGAACGGATGCTAATTCACAGTCGTATTCGCGAAGGACGGGGAACGTCATGTCTACCAATTTGCCGAAGCTCTTCACCGCCAGACTGAGGGGCATCAACGACGAGAAGGAGGCGTCTTCTGATGGACCGAAAGAGGGTGCTGAGGCGATGGCGCAACTACTTCGAGAAAATCTCTACAGTAGAATATACACATATACATAAGGCCATGCCTCATGCCTCACCACTGCATGGTCTCGTTCAGAAGATAACAGCAAAAAAACCGAATCGGCTGTTAAGAAGATGAAGCCAGGCAAGGTAAGTAATCCCTGACAACGTGGAACCGAATTGTGGAAGTCACACTGCTGGTCTCCTGCAGAATGGTTGACGAGGTTCTTCGATCAAGGCGTTGCAGAGAAGATGATGTTTGATGGTGGTAGGAAAGCACAACGGTTCCGATTTGGAAGAAGAAGGGCAGCTCTGCAGGGTGCTCAAATTATTAATTCGTCCAATTCGCCTTCCCTCGCACACCATGAAAATTTTTGAGCAGATTGTTGACAGTCGTATCAGTGAAATTATCGAGCTCTTTACCAACCAATGTGGCTTTGTGACGCCACACGTTTTTTGCTGGAGAGGCATAGGAGAAGCGGAAGCATGTCCATCTAGCCTTCCTCGACTTATAGAAGATCGCGTTCCGCGTGAAGTTATATGGCACGCCCTACGACAACAGCGTTCCCGAAGAACTGAGGTGAGTGAGTGCGCATACTGCATTCCAGCCCAACGAGTCGCGTGCGAACATCAGCAGGCATTTCGATGAAATTCTCCAACACAGTGGGGGTGCATTAAGGCTCTGCGCTCTCCCGCTCCTCTTCGTTGTCGTTATGGATGCCATTTCACAAGACCTTAAACGGGCTCCTTGGACGCTTCTGTACGCTGACGATGTGATGCTCGCCTGTGACGATAAGAATGATTTCGAGCAACAGGTGAAAACCTGGTCTGAGCGCTTGACAAACTTGGGACTCAGACCTAACGTCAAGAAAATCGCGTACCTGTGAACCGACTCAGGTGAGTTCGGTTCTCTTAAGGTCAATGGCAGTGAGCTAACGCGTACGGCGACGTTCAGATACCTCGGATCAACAATTACGTCTGACGGTAGTCTTGACTCACAAGGGAAAGATGGTAGGTCGAAGTGGCCATTTGAAATGAAATGTATACCGGCTGAAAGGTCTTCGGACGGGAGATTACGAAACCGTTCCATATCTGCTGCGGACCTCCCAGAAAGAAGTTACGGAGCTTTTTAGAGGGAGAATATTCGCATTCTCTACGATTGATCAGTAGCCGAGTGGATATGTCGTAGGGCTCACGGATGCGTGGTCGAGGGTTTGGATCCTTGATGCGTGTGCTCTTTTGCATTTTTTCGAAAGTGGTCCCTGTGCACTTCAAAGCTATTTTGCATAACTCTTGTGCCTGATAATGTCGTGACGTAATGTTTCTGAACTGATGGAGCCATTGCGAACGATTTCATGGAGATCACTTCTGGCTGAAGAGATTGTCATACGAGCCGAAAACTTCCAGCAGGTGCGAAACCACTTTGGGATAGACATCTTTCAACACTATGTGAGTGATGAATGAAGGTTTTGCCCATCGCGATCTCCAGCATGATTGCCACATCAACGCCACTTCATATGAAAGCATTTTCCCACTATACTCATCTTCGTGCACAACTTCGTGCGTTCGGATTCGTTTTCCAGTCATGTCGTTTGGAGAATAAAGTCATTTGAAAGCAAAATCTTCTTTTGGAATGCACTTTTGTTGTGTATGCTTTTCAAATCAAAGAAAGAAGAAGACAACAGCCAGAAAATGTTCTCCATGGAATCGTTCGCAATGGCTCCATCAGTTCAGAATCATTACGTCACGACATTATCAGGGACAAGTGTTATGCAAAATAGCTTTGAAGTGCACAGGGACCACTTTCGAAAAAATGCAAAAGAGCACACGCATCAAGGATCCAAACCCTCGACCACGCATCCGTGAGCCCTACGACGTATCCACTCGGCCATGCTTCCACGATCTACTCATAATCAGCCTTACGCTGCCGATTCGTAGTAAATGCAAATATTTTCCCCCTAAAAAGGTCCGTAGCTTCTTTATGAGAGGTCCGCAGCAGATATGGAAAACGGTTTCGTAATCTCCGTCCGAAGACCTTTCAGCCGGTATAAATTTCATTCCAAATGGCCACTTCGACCTACCATCCTATCCCTTGTCAGAAGTGAGCACGCGTGTGAGTGCAGCCTGGTCTGGCGTACGACCAAGGAAGTTGAGGCCCGTCTCGGAGCAATGAAGCTGAAAATGCTGCGCTGGAGGGCCGGCGTCACGCGTATGGATCGCGTTCGAAATGATGACATACGCAAGACATTCGGTGTGGTTCCCGTAGCCGAGAAAAACTCGCCTCCTTTGGTACGGCCATGTACTGCGCGCGAATTCTGACACCGTCAGTAAGATTGGACTCGAGCTCGAGGTGCCCGGAGAACGGCCCCCAAACAATGATGGCTAGACACGTTGCATGCGGCCTTGAAGATAGTTGGCACCCATCCCGACCAGGCATCCAATCGGGAGAAGTGGCGTAGCATAATGAAAAGAGCGGATCTCGCCTCAGAGCGGGACAAACGTTGAAGAGAAAGGAAAAGAATAGTCGAATGCAACCTAGGAAAACCTCTCCATTGCTTCATATTTTAGGTGGTCATTACAATCCTGCGGTATCGATCACAATGATGACTTTCGGAAAGCTTTCTTTCACTCATTTTTGCTTGTACTGTGTTGTGCAAACGGCAGGCGCATTTTGTGGAGCTGCTGCAGCCTACATGCTCTATTATGGTACGTTTAACATTTTTTTCTTGCCTTTCAAACCATGCGATATAAGAATAACTCCATCTGAAAGAGAAACTGAAAATCATTAGACTACAGAAAATTATTGATCTGTGAGAGGCCTTTCAGATCAATTTGTTCATTTCGATGGTAATGTTCATAGGATCATCGGTTACAAAGGCACAGCCCGGTGTTTCTGTTCGTTCCCAGATCCTCATCTCAGCAATCTTACCTGCTTTCTTGATCAAGTATGTTTGTACGTATCATTGTACCATGTCTAGAGTGCTCTGGAAGCGTTATGCGATTTTTTTTAGTCTTGCTCCGTCCACTCCACGCACGTTCGAACCACAACGGTGTATCTCGCACTCGCACTTCTCAAAGGGGACCACTTAGGGACCATAATAATACTTTTTAGCGCCGTCGACGATAGTGCCCTAGGACCAAACTACGACTTT